TATGATGATTATAAAGGTGTAATGACAGTCTTATGAACACCCCTTCTAGTAAAGTGTCACCAAACGTGGAGTTTCCCCTTCACACGAGCTCATAAAAGCGCTCCACATTTGACACAGATCTCTCTCTCCGGCCACAGATGTGTTAAACCTCAGTTTTCTATATCTATATGCAGGATGAGGTCAGCATGTCCACAGTGATGCTCTTTTATTAAACCTCTGACTTTTCTCCAGTTCCTCAGTCTTCATCATCAGCAGCAGAACACACACCGCCCGGCCTCCAGGACCAGAACCCTCACACACTCACTCACACACACTCATCAACAGCTCACAGAAGGTATTTAACCCTTTTCTATACAAACCTCACATCATTTAACCTCATTTATTTCTCTTTCTGGAGACTGGAGGAGACTCATGCTTTATGATCACACACATGACTCATTGTGTGTTCGCTCTCTAAGCTCAAATGATTTAAATGTGCTTTAACTCCTCTTATCTCCTTTATATAATGTTGGTGTGTTAGTTTAAATACATTATAGTTTTAGTTTATATGCAGTATATTTAATAGGATTTGTTTAAAGTCTCCATTATAGTGCTTTAGTTATGCGTGGCTCATAGTATAATTTTAATTTGCATTGTTTTTGGGGGACAAATTTAACATCTGTCCAGGGATAACGGATAGAAAAACATCCTTCTGGCTCATTCTGCTGCCCTGACAGATAAATGAATACAATAAAATAAAAAATAAAAATAATTTAAATTAAATTCAATTAAATTGAAAATAAGAAAAAAGTTGAATAAATAAAAAATGTAAAAATAAATAAATAAATAAAATTTAAAAAGTAAAATAAAAAATAATAAAACAAAATAAGATTCAAAAAACTTATTAAATTAAATAAAAAAGTAAAATAAAAAATAATAAAACAAAATAAGATGAAAAATTATCAAATTAAATAAGAAAGTAAAAATAAAAAATAATAAAACAAAATAAGATTTAAAAATTCATGAAATAAAATAAGTAAAATAAAAAAGTAAAACAAAATAAGATTAAAAATATTATAAAATTAAATAAAAAAGTAAAATTAAAATAATAAAATAAAACGAAAATGAAAATAAAAAATAATAAAACAAAGTAAGATTTAAAAATTATAAAATTAAATAAAAAAAGTAAATAAAAAAATAAAACAAAAAGTAAAAAAAAAATGCTAAGATAAAACAAAAATCTAAATCAAATCAAATCTAAACAGAAAGCATTTATGAATCACAGAACTGTTGATTAACAGATGTTTTGGTTCAATCACATTGGTTTGTTATGTCATTTAATGTAAAGATTTCTTTAGAAACAACAAATAACAGCAACATCTGAACACCAACACTTCAGCTCATAATGTGTGCTGTTTTCTTCAGGCACAGCTGAAGTATGGATGTGGTGGTCACCGTCTCCATAATCGTGGCTGTGGTGGTCGTCTGCCTCGCCTTCTTCTGCTGCATCTATAAGATGTTCAGGTCTAGACCCGGGTGTAAGTCCTGTTCTGTCCTACACAAACAACAACATCCAGCACCTGCAAACATACAGAGGAATGTCTCAACAGCGGCGCTAATGCTGTTCTGACATCAGATGTTAAAGAGGATTTGACAGAGTAATGACACAATGACAAATGCAGAACACATGAATATTCATGACATGATTATAACGCCTCATGACAATCATGCTTATAACAAGTGCGGTTGTCATAGTAATGTCACATTGTCATGACAAAGACCAAATCAGGCTGTGATGTATTTGCTCAAGTTGTCATAACAGACTATGTGATCTGGGCATGTAAATCTTAATAACACTTGTTATAAGCATGCATTAAGTCTCATCGAGGTGAAACTATCAAACAGCTCTGCAGATGTGTAGAACAGCAGCACACACTCATGCTTCTTCAGTATCATTGAGGATGAATGAGGGACGCTGCTGTATTATTCACAGGCTCTGAACTGAACTGAACTGAACTGAACTGAACTGAACTGCAGCTGTTGTTGTTTCTGCAGAGACGGCCAGAAGCGAGTGATGATCTGCTGCGGTTCACACAACACCATCAGCATCAGCATCAGCATCAGCATCAGCATCATGCAGATTAATAAAGCTTCTCCTCTGGATAATCATCAGTGCTCTGTGTAATCTCTCGCCTCAGTGTCTGCTCAGCGCCAGCTTCATTCATTGACTGCTCTCTGGTGCTTTAATCTGGTGTGTTGTGTTTGTGTTTGAGGCTGAACATTCAACAAAAGTTCTTTCCAAACGCATGACGTGGCCAGAGTTGGTCGTTTTTGCAAAACAAACCCGAAATATGAGTTGAGGAAATAAAATAAAAAATCATCAGAAATAAGAGATGAGCCAGAGAAAAGCCTCAATCGCTGAGTAGCAATACTAAATGTGTAAACGCTGTTTAATGAATGCTTCTGTGCTGTTATTAGTGTTAAAGCCTTTCTCTAAGCTCAGTTTATCTTCAAGAGGTCTTTTATCCTTTATCTTAATCTCAAAACACTGGAATTCTGATTTAGTTAATCTGTTAAACGGCATCACGTCTCCTGGCTCGTCATCCAACACTGTTAAAGGAACTTTATGATATTGAAAACAGTCCAACTCAGGCTCATTCTGATTATGCACCCCTGTACACATTTCTGGAGAGCGCCCAAACTGATCCAGGAGCTGCGCTGTTTTCACAGGTTTAGTGTTGGTGAATCCACCAGAGGGCGCTGTGTACACTGAAAAAAGTGTTGAAGGCAGAACTGTAGCAAACTATTGATTTGTGTTGAATTTAAACAAATGAAGTTTAATAATGTTCATCTTAATTTGTCAGTTTAAATTCAGCCCAAATAAATTGTTTAAAACCACTTAACATAAAAAATGAGTAATTCAATTTCATCTTTGAATAACTTTTTTCAGTGTACGCTATTCAGATCTCAAATTTCTCTCACGAGTGCCCTTTACGCCTGCTGTTCTCACATAAATCCACCAGAGGCCAACTGACCAATCGACTGACCCGCCCACCCGCTTCCCTAAACCCAACCAATAGTGTTTTCAAAAGCAATCCAGTAAAGGAAACGCTCTCGCCTACTTGGCTATTTAATTTTTTTGTCTTCTGTTGTTGTCTTATCTGCTTTCTGGAACCGCTCCTCACCGCACTCAAACCCCGTCTTCGTGGTCAACTCCTCTCTGCGTCTCAAGTCCACCAGCATACATGTCGAGCCACTGGACAAACTGGTAGCAGCTGAAAGCCGTCCATATGAAGGTAAGCGGTCAGCTGGTAGCACAAAAAGCAACAGCATCATACTAGCCTGTAGTGTTTGATTTAAAGAGGAAATGCAGCTATACACACCTCGGCTACATAACTCACGCTTCAGAATGAGCCTATAGAAAGAGTCACATTTCAGAAGCAAATAAAGCCAGATTTATAACTTAGAGATCTGACAGTCCAGCTACAGCACAGGACGATCTGTAAACATCTGGCTAACTCAGCCATGCAGAACACTGAAACTGACCCCTGGGGTTTAGGGACTGAAAACACATCAGGGTATTTAATTTCATTTGAATTCAGATTTAAAAGGGACTAAGCTGAAAACAAAATGAATGAATGAATGAATAAATTAATGAATTAATGAATGAATGAATGAATGAATAAATTAATAAATGAATGAATGAATAAATGAATAAATGAATAAATGAATAAATGAATAAATGAATGAATAAAAGAATGAATAAATGAATGAATGAATGAATAAATGAATGAATAAATGAATGAATGAATAAATGAATGAATAAATAAATGAATAAATGAATGAATAAATAAATGCATGATGAATAAATAAATGAATGAATAAATGAATGAATGAATAAATGAATGAATAAACAAATAAATGAATGAATAAATGAATGAATGATCGAATGAATGAATAAATGAATGAATGAATAAATGAATGAACGAATGAATGAACGAATGAATGAATAAATGAATGAATAAATGAATGAATAAATAAATGAATAAATGAATGAATAAATAAATGAATAAATGAATGAATAAATGAATGAATGAATAAATAAATGAATGAATAAATGAATGAATGAATGAATGAATGAATAAATGAATGAATTAATGAATGAATGAATGAATGAATGAATGAATGAATAAATTAATGAATAAATGAATAAATGAATGAATGAATAAATAAATGAATGAATAAATGAATGAACGAACGAATGAATGAATAAATGAATGAATGAATAAATAAATGAATGAATAAAGAATGAATGAATAGATGAATGAATGAATAAATAAATAAATGAATGAATAAAATAATGAACGAATGAATGAACGAATGAATGAATAAATGAATGAATAAATGAACGAATAAATGAATGAATGAATAAATGAATGAATGAACGAATGAATGAATAAATGAATGAATAAATGAATGAATGAATAAATGAATGAATAAATGAATGAATAAATAAATGAATGAATTACTGAGTTAATAAATGAATAAATAAATGAAAAAATGAATAAATAAATGAATGAATAAAGAATGAATGAATAGATGAATGAATGAATAAATAAATGAATGAATAAATGAATGAATGAATAAATGAATGAATGAACAAATAAATGAATGAATAAATGAATGAATAAATGAATGAATGAAAAAATGAATGAATAAATTAATGAATAAATAAATGAATTAATGAGTTAATAAATGAATAAATAAATGAATAAAGAATGAATGAATAGATGAATGAATGAATAAATGAATGAATGAATAAATGAATGAATAAATGAATGAATGAATAAATAAATGAATGAATAAATGAATGAATGAATGAATAAATGAATGAATGAATGAATGAATGAATAAATGAATGAATGAATAAATTAATGAATGAATGAATAAATGAATGAATGAATGAATGAATAAATGAATGAATAAATGAATGAATGAATGAATAAATGAATGAATGAATGAATGAATGAATGAATGAATGAATGAATTCAGATTTAGAGCAGACAGTAAGATTTGACGTCACACGCTCTGTTTACATTAGGTTGAACTTTATTGTCATTGTGCACAGTACAGTACAGAGCCGACCAAACACAGAAGCATCTGATCCTCCAGTCAAAACCTCCTGATGTTGGAGAATTAAAGTTCAGTGCGTGTAAACAGACCAGTGATGATGGCTCAGGGATCACTCTGTGCTCAACCTCTCTTATTCTGTCTACAATCGCAAACTCAAACCCTATTATTACCAGCACAACCTAAATACAGCTCACTCCAGCACAGTGTGAGTGTGAGTGTGTGTGTGTGTGTATGTGTGTGTGTGTGTGTGTGTGTGTGTGTGTGTGTGAAGTCATTCCTAAGCATATTTACATGAGCAGCAGCACGCTTCACGAGTCTCTCAGTGTCTGCATGCTGTCTGCACACGGTTTCAGCAGGTCAGTCTGGCCAGTAGCTGTGCACTGACCACACGGCATTATCACACATACAGTCTATACAGCAGAGTTAACAGAAAACACTTCCCTGAGCTGAAGAGAGCGACACAGTGACTAGAACAGCTTCATATTTACACTGTACATAACACACACTGAACTAAACTAAAGCATGAACTCAAAACATGAGCGTACTCAGACATTCTGTCCTGTTTCTATCTTGAAGATCTCAAAACTCTTAAGTCAAGAACAATTTTCAAGACAAGCACAGAGCATAGTGTTGTTTCAGCAATAATCTGATTCAAACTGGAGAGAGTTTCTCCTGAAAACAAGCAGAATAACCTGACACTGAGCTCAGCAGAATAATGTTATCACACTGAAAAACTAGAGTATTCCGCTGAGCTCAGGGTCAGGTTATTCTGCTTGTTTTCAGGAGAAACTCTCTCCAGTTTGACTCAGATTATTGCTAAAACAACACCATTCTGCCTTGTCTCCTTCTTAATAGAAATATGTGTAGATATTTGAACTAGAAACAGGACAAACTCTTAGTAATAACAGCACGTTTCTGCTGTGTGATGATGTTTGTTGGCCAACTCGTCTTGAAGTTCCTGTTCCGGCTGAAATCTCCTCTCTTGTCTACAGTCTGGCCAGTGAGTTTCCCGTGACGGATGTGGATGGCTGATCAGAGGTGTACTCCCTAACAGCTTGACTATGGGATCAATTTTGAGTGTTCGATTTACGTAGGGTGCGTGTTATGTGGAACTCGGGGAAAACCCACACGAGGAGAATGAGCAAACTCCACACAGAAACATTGCCTGGTGTAGTGGAGACTTTAACCAGAGACATTCCTGCTGTGAGGCAACAGTGCTAACCACTGGACCACTGTGCCACCCATCTGGAAGGGAGGAGGAGTAGGGGTGGGTAGGGGGGATTCTTCAAGACGAAGACATTGAGATGAGGAACTCTGGGTATTTATAGTGGGTTTGGAATCATCTGATTGGATAATCGATTATGAGCTGATGCTGGACCGGCTGAGACAGCCTGATCTCACGAGAAAACCTAAGTATTTTATGCATTTCTAGTTTAGTAGATAATTCGTACGAATTCGTACAAGTTCAGTCGTATGAATTGTACGATTTTAAAAATGAGGCGTGGCACCTGACCCCACCCCCAACCGTCACTGGGGGATGAGCAAATCGTACTAAAATGTACGAATTAGACTGTACGAATTCATACGAATTAGCCACTAAATGAAAAAGTAATGAATTGCGGTGAGATTGTGTTGCTGAGAGCAGTCATAAGCACGTGATCCTCTCCAAATGAGTTTATAAAATAACTTGACTAACTGTAGAGCGTTCCCCAACACTGGAGCTGCTGCAGACGTGATGACATGACAGACCTGATCCTGTGGCTGCTCAAAGATTCCCAAGACTGAACCCAGTGACACACAAACACACGGGGCATCTTTGGTGCTTAATTCCTATCATGCTTTTCTCTTCACGGCATTCAGATATTTACAAAATGTGTGCAAAACGCGAGCAGAAGATAAGAGAGAGCTCCGCAGACGAGGACGCAACGGGTTTATGAGGACAGCGGAGCGTTGTGCAGGACACGGCTCACTCCTTCTGGGAGAAAGTGTTCAGGCGGAGCAGAGCCCATACGGTGGACCATCGCTGAAACACACACACACACACACATGCAAACACACACACACACACAGAAGTGCAAACATTACATTTATTAAGTAGCAAACGCTGTCATTAATGTGTGTTCTTATACTGGTGAACTGCTAAACAGTAATATAACAGAGAATAACAGTCATTTATTTATTTGAGGAGAGATGAAGTCGACGTCACTAACAGCTTCTCATTCCTGCATATACACTGCCTGACAGAGGTCCTGTGGTGGATCAGCTGTGAGAGCAGCAGATAGTATCTGGTCTTCTAGTTGATGATGTGTGAAAGTGTCAGAAGGTGGATTTCTCTGCTGGATCATCTGCTGATCTGCATCCCAAATACTGCAGAAGACCTACTGGAACCAGCATGGCCAAGACTCTCACAGTAATCAATCAAGTTTGGTGAAGGAGACATCATGGTTTGGGGTCATTGAGTATGGGGGCGTGCGAGAGATCTGCAACATCAACAGCCTGAGGTATCAAGACATCTGTGCTGCCCATTACATTACAAACCACAGGAGAGGGACAATTCTCCAGCAGGATAGCGCTCCTGCTCATACTTTAGCCTCCACATCAAAGCTCCTGAAGGTCAAGCTGCTCCAGGATTGGCCAGCCCAGTCACCAGACATCAACATTATTGAGCTGATGAAGGAGGAGGTGTTGAAGATGAACACAGAGACTCTTGATGAACTCTGGGATCCTGCTGAAGCTTTCTTCTTCATTCCAGATGACTTTATTAATCAGTGATGTGAGTCATGTCAGAGATGTGTGGATGCAGTCATCCAAGCTCATGATGGAGTCAGACACAATCTTCATTCTGTCTCCACTGCAGCAGGACTTTATATTCTATACTGGACATTATTTCTGTTCAGTGATGAGACTTTAGTCTGAGCAGAGTCAGTCTAGAGTCTAGAGGCCTTCGCCTTTCATATGAGACACTTCTGACACCAGATCAGCAACTATTTGCTGTTGTTAAAACCTGGATATGCCACAAGACTTTAGTCAGGTAGTGTATAAGGATTCTGGGTAAATGCTTGAACTCACCCAACTCTCTCTGAGCTGGAAAGTGTTTTCCCGGATCATTCTGCAGTCGAATCTCCTTAATGGAGAAGATGGAGGTGGCTGGTGTGACAAAAACCAAGAGACAGCATCACAGTCTGCTAATATAAACACAAGCTTCAAATGCAGGACTTATAATGAATGCATTTAAAAAGAGCCGTCAGGGGGGCGGCGTGGGGGCTCAGTGGTTATCAGTGGCTTCACAGCAAGAAGGTCGCTGGTTCGAGCCTCAGCTGGGTCAGTTGGTGTTTCTGTGTGGAGTTTGCATGTTCTCCCTTCGTTGGCGTGGGTTCCGCTTTACCCCCACAGTCCAAACACATGCACTATAGGGGAATTGATCAACTACATTGGCCGTAGTGTGTGTGTGTGTGTGTGTTTGTGTGTTTGTGAATGAGGGTTTTGGCTGGAAGGGCATCCACTGCTTAAAACTGGAATAAAGCTGGAATAGTTGGCGGTTCATTCCACTGTGGTGACCCCTGATTAATAAGGGACTAAGCTTTAGGAAACTGAATGAATGATATTCAGCATGAAGCACTTACTGTCGGGCAGCTGGTGCACTTTGTCTCCCAGATCTCTGAAATAGACGTGTCGGAGAGCTGCTTCTGCTGAAACACGCCGTCTGGCATCAAACTACACAAAGACACACACACACACACACACACACACACACACACACACACACACACACACACACACAGATCTGATGTCAGTCTGCTTCAGTATTATCATGTGTGCATTTACAAACAGGAGCTCACTGCAAACACTGCAGCATTACACTGAGAATCACAACACATGATGTTGCTCATTTCAACTCTCATCCATTCCCAGTTTGATTCCAGTATTTTAAAGAAGCAGTGATCCCCCTCTGCTTGGTCTAGTCTGATCATGTGACTGCTCAAATTAAGTCAGCTGTCCCCCTGTTTGTTTGGCGTTGATAATGAATGGCCAAACGTCTTCACTCGGTCTGTCTGCTGTCTTACTGCTGATGTTTGAGAGTGTGCAGACTTTCAGATATTAAACACCTTTAGGGCTTTTATTCAGCTATTGAACCGTCCTGAAGGCACAGTGAGCTCTTGGTTGTTGTTAGAAGTCATAAGCATGCATAAAATGATGCATCATGTGATGATTATAAAGCTGTATTGGCAGTCTTATGAACACCTCTTCAGGTAAAGTGTCAGACACATTTCTGAGCGTCAGTCCTTTTCAAAAGCAGATGGAGATGTACTTTACCTGCAGCAGCTGGCAGAGGAGATCGTGACCGTCATTAGTGATCCTGGAGAACACAAGGACACTTCAGAACCACACACACACACACACACACTTATAAACCCCTATAAACATCTCTACATCTAGTCCACGACTAACACCACATCCCAGGCTTCTTGTCGAAAA